TGCGGTATTTTTCCTTTACTTATCCCGAACGAGATGTGCAGCTAGCTTGGCAATGAGATCACCATAACTACAGTCATGATAACTAACCCCGGTTACTGAAGTCACCATCGGTTTGTCCAAAACGATTGTAACCTAGATCGTTCTTGGGACGACGCTTCCCAGCCATTGATCTCCATTCGGTGACGTAATGATTCTTGCCTGAATGTCGCCGATTTAAAAAATAAAAAGCAAGATAATAAAATCTACGCCGGACTTGTAGAGTGCAAATATTTTCCTTGATACATGACAATGTGCAGCTTCTTACCTGTAGATTATATTGTCGTCACTATTCGGCATCAACTTCATTGGGGCTGGTGGATGCCACACTGCCGGCACACTGGCGGTGGCAAAAGGTACGTCATGATGTCAAAAATGGCATGTCACGTGTCATTTTTTCGAGAGAGATGGCTTTCCATTCGGCGGTGCGCCAGCTGCTTGTGGCACGCTCTTCTGCGCGTTTCCAGTTCTGGTTGACAGGGACTTGTACGACCACAGTGAGGCTGGTGGTCGGCTTAAAATGAGGCTTGCTGCTGGTCAGCATATCTGCGTGATGATTCATGCTGTAAAGTTCACTAGCTTGTTGACCGGATTCAGCTGGTGCACAGGTCTGCTGTCATGCACAAACAGATGATGGAATGTGATGTAGCTTAGGTGAGGAGAATAAACACTGGCTTAGCGAAGGGAAGCCGAATTCGGTATATGCATAACTGAACGTCATTACAGTTTTGAACGACTTTGGCACATGGCGTCACATGGCAGGACGATGATCGAGTATTACACCGAAAAGTTCACGCTCTGGGAGTGAGTAACAAGCGAGCTATGGTTGCCAAGGAAGCAACATTTATTAACAGCTCGGAGTTCTTATTTTGGCAATAAGCCATATTCATCATGCCATAATGTTAGCTTAGCGATATGATCGCGAAAGCACTAGCTATTGACAACATAACATTTCAAGATCTGGTCATGGCCAGGAGTGAGTAGTAAGCAAGAATGAGTAATTCAAAAATTAAGGCATGCGAGTGCAGGGAATGTCCGAATCTGTGCAGATACTGGTACTTAAAGCATATCACCATAATCAATATCCCGAGCTCTCACATACTGCGTTAGGTCGAGCATTACCAATATAAAGCCTTCAGGCCGTAGTGCCGAGAAGTCGGCGGCTCACGGCCTTCCTTGCTTATTTCAAGTTTCGTTTCGTTTCATTTCGCTCAGCCGTTTCGACCTGTTATTGAAATTTAGCAATGCTGCAGCCCGTTTTGTTGAGCCCACCTGCCAAAACCATTGATGAATTTCGCTGAGCGACTTCTGAAGCCTGTACTTCAAGCATAAATGTCTGAATCGTCCATGCTTTTTTCGGACGGAGCGCGATGTTTTCTGCGGGCTGTGTGTCGTCTGCATAGGAGATTGCGCGGTCGTGTGTCAGCAGCCCAGGCAGGCCGTGCTTCAGGATGGTGAAGTGTGAAGGCCCGACAGTAGCGCCCTGAAGAGAAGACAGCATTGGGTCACCCGCAGCGCCAGCGCACTCTCTCGAGCCGCTTGCCTTCAACGGTTCAAATGGCTTTGGTACCGCTAGAGGTCGATCCCGTGCCAATGCAGTTTTTGTTGTTGTTGTCATTGCGGTTTTACGACGCAATCAGCTGGTGAGGCTATATGGTGTCACCTGCCCCTCGCCCTGGAAGGAAGAGCGGGCACTATAGGAAATCGAACGCCGTACCTGTGGTATCCTGTGAATGGCTGCGTGTGGGCTTCCCGACGTACCCCACATGCAGTTCAACCACTGCACTACCGATAACCAGTGTAGTTTCATGATGAATGCGCAGTAAATGACGCTGGCAAGTACGTGCGGGGCATGTAACCGGGTCGCCAATGTCAGCTGTCCCCTCCCTGTCCTGCTGGCCGCCTACCCCGCGGAATCCGGCACAGTGTCCTCAGCGAAGCCGTCCGTTTCAGTGCTACAGCGATTAGCCGAGGATGACCGGACCGGCAGTGACGTCACAGCAACTACGTCGCTGGCCGACTACTTGCGCCTGCACCGCGGCCTGTCCGGCACCAAGATCATGTGTCGGGAGGGCATGTGCGGGGCGTGCGTCGTCAACGTGACGTCACAGAACCCGGCCACGGGTCAGATGGAGAGTCGTGCCGTCAACTCGTGCATGGCGCCGGTCAGGGCCTGTCAGGACTGGCAGGTGGAGGTGAGCGGCCGGGGCGGACGGACGGCTCTAGTGACGTCAGCACCACCAATGCTGCGCCAGCTTTGGCCGAGTGGATGTAGTCCGAGTGGATGTGGCTACATGATGCTCCTTGAGTAAACTAGTCGCATCCGGATGCGTCCGATCACAATGCGTATCGATAGCTAGGTCAACACCATCTCCCACGGCCAACGCGGTGCGCCGCCACCAGCGCGTATGCGGTGCCGCCCCAGACCGCTGCAGCTTCCGCCGCCGTACCCCATCGCGCGAGGCACGGGTCTCCCGCCAGCGCGGCACGCCGCACACCGTCCGGTCACAGGCCCGGCACCGTCGCCGCCCGGCCGACCAGAACCAAACGCCGGGCCGACCGGCCGGAGCGCCGGCCCAAGGTTATTCACCCAACTGTGAACGCGGGACACTGGTGCAGGCAGTCGATGGATCAGGCCATTCGTAACACTGCCTGGCCTTAAGCGATCACGGTAATGATAAGGATCATGAAGAGTGACGGCAGCCGGCATCTTTATTCTTTGAGCTTTTTCGTTTACCGCCAACAAAGCAGCGCTACTGTAACAGACGACGTCGCTTAAATAAGATGCGGCAAATACACAACACACCATACAGCTGACTGGCAGCTCTCATCTGAACGATCACGCCACCAGGGGATTGAGATGAATCTAAAGCAGCAGGCCGTCAGCCGGGGGAAGACATTTTGCGGAAATGTTCACGTCATCGGCATACAAAAGGCAACGGGGCTCAATGACGAGGAAAAGATCGGTAATGAACACTGGAAAAGGAAAGGAGCTAAGAGTGATCCTTCCAGCACCTCAATGTTCCACTCTGCTCTGTTGTGTGAAGAATTGAGCTGCTAGATAGATGAACAGAGATGAACTCGAATGTATACTATTGGCGGCCGTCAACATTGCCCTGTAATTGACTTGAGTCGCTCTAACTGGCATGCGTATCGTCTGCTACCAACCGGTCATTGTCATTCAGTTTGTCAATTTGTCAATTTGTCAATTTCACGGGCATCGGCGCAAGTCCATCCTGCATGGCCTGGCTGCCTGTTTGACCATGAATGGGGCACAATTGACAACTTGAATGACAATGACAATTGACGAATTGAATGGTCCGGCTGCTTGCTGGAGAGGGACGTGCGGGGACCGGATCGACGGGTAGGAAGGCGTCTCATTCAAATTGTCTTTGACGGCAGTGGAAGTGACTCTCGTCATATTCTTTGGACAAAAACGTGCACAAAGGTTACGTGTTTAAAGATGGCGCAGTCTGCGGCGCCGGCCATTACACGGCATGTGTGCATGTGTCACGGCCTAAATGTGCAGTGAAAGCAGCCCAGCCATTGTGGCAAACCCCCATGAGAAGTATTGGCTATTTTCCGATGTACGCATCCGTGCGCACGTCTGACATCGGTCCCGGGCCGGCGGCAGACGGTGGAGGGCGTCGGGAACAGGAGGGACGGCTACCACCCGGTGCAGGCGCGCCTGGCGCACATGAACGGCACCCAGTGCGGCTACTGCAGCCCCGGCATGGTCATGTCCATGTACAGGTAACGGTGCTGTGGACATGTCCTGGCAGCTGCAGCGTGGTGGTTAGTACAATTGTGCCGGTAGTTGGGTTACAATCAAAGCTCTCAGGAGCAGGTGTCAACTTATGTCACGGGTGACTTTCGCCAATTCACGTCGTTAAGTATCCCAGGACGTTCCGGAATCGCGATAATATTTGCCATACGTTCAGGGCATGCTAACGCTTGCTAAGAATCTCGGAAACTCTGTATAGAGCATACCCGACAGACCGTGATGGGCCAATATGTTAAGCCATCTCTTCTGTGCATGGATAGGTTAATGCACGTTTGCAGCAGTGCTTCCCGGTATTCCAGACACCATCCCTGTGTTCCCCGTTTATATGCGATGCATCGCCAGCTTCGTCATCCCGCTTAATACGCCCGATGCTGGTTCGTAGTTACCAGTTGTTGGTCGTTGTCTGGGCACCAGCCTGCTGAAGTCGGGGGAGGAAGTGACGCCGGAGCGAGTGGAGCAAACTATGGACGGCAACATCTGCCGCTGTACCGGCTACCGGCCCATCCTGGACGCATTCAAGACCTTTGCAGCCGACACGGACGAGAAGACCAGACAACTGGTCAGAGACATCGAGGTATGGCCCGCTTGAGGCACAGCTGACTGAATGAGAGTGTGACGTTAACGCCAGCTGCTTTGTGTGGGCTTCGACGCGTGGAGGAGGCAAAGTATTCCGCTGAGACGGCGCTGATGATGGCTGGTGGTCATCACATGGTGAGCGTATGGTCACCATAAGTATGCTTTGCCTCGCGCTGAAGTCCCCCACTTAACCGAGTCCGGTTGATCTGTCGGTGAGATCACCGTCTGCTTTGGAGCGCGACAGTAACATTGCCCCCAGCTGACCTCTGTCAATCCACACTCACCTTTGCTGACCTTAGTTGAACTATATTAGATTCGCCGTCCTCTACTGAACCCTCCTGATCCATGATAAGCTCTGCTGGCAGTTTTGCCCTGTTGACCTCTGCTGACCTCTAGGAGACAGCCGGCTGCCGTGGCGGCTCTGGGGGCGCGTGTCGACCGTCGGCGGCCTGCGCCGGCTGTCCGCGGGCGGCGGTGGCTCTAACGGCGGCCGAGGACGACTGGCGACTGCCGGAGAGCCTGCCCCAGGCGCTGCGGGACGCTGCCGCGCTGTCGGCCGGCGGCAGGCGGGTCCGACTTCGTGGCCGGCAACACCTCCGTTGGTGAGCCGCGCGTCCGGCACTGCGGTGGACTGATGTGTATTGATAACCGGGCGTGTCCCACAGAGTCACTCTTGGCGAAGATGCCACTGGTGGGCGAAGTGCCATCCCAGCCCTCCCTCGACGATGTGGGCGCGTGACGGCCCCCTCCCTATCTCCCTCCCTCCCTCGACGATGTGGGCGCGCGACGGCCCCCTCCCGATCTCCCTCCCTCGACTATGTGGGCCTGCGAGGGTCCCCTCCCTCCCTCCCTCCCTCCCCCGGCGATGTGGGCGCGTGAAGGCTCCCTCCCTCCCTCAGGTTTCTTTGCATGATTTATGAACCATTTCAGATCAGAAGTTTTTGAAAGATCATGCTTTTCAGGAGCTGAATTGATGGCAACGTCACACATCTTGTCAAATTTTCAACACTTCTGTGTAAATAGGTCGTGACCTATGACTCATTTTTAGATGCAATTTCAGTCAGATTTCTCGCCATATGGATAATACGTGCAACTGGTTAACAGCTGGGACATGTTACTTGTTTGTTTTTTCATCGAATCGATTGACTGGCGACTGACTTCAGTAATGTGAGGCCTGATTATATACAAGGGTGAAATGTGCTTGATCAGAGGTTAAGCCAGCTCAAACATGTCCAATATTTATGCTATAATGCATTCACGGCACATACAATTGCGAAGATGTTGTTGAGAAATTTGGACGAATAATGCTCAGCTATATGAAGCGAATTTATTGGGCTCAGTTCACACCGGGTCGGACAAATAACAAACAGCCAAGCATCCATTGGCATGGATTACGCCATCATAGGAGAACGTGCTGCATCAGTGATTATTCATTCTTTTAGCTCGTTTTATTATGAGTAATCGTATGCAAGCGACACTGGTCTTCCAAAGGTCGAGCAAGGCCATGACAAAGCCATGTGCGCCATGATTGTATCATGGTTGTGCATGTGAGTTAATAGTCTCCCTCAAGTAAAAACATCCAAACAACACAGAAATAACCACAACTTTCAATTATTTACGGAAATGGCAAAAGTTGACCTTACTTCAGATCAATTACTTCATACTTTCGAGAAAAAAACTTTAAAGATACAGTTTGTAGGTATTAGGATGCTTTATTACTGCAGCAAGTTTGAACAATGGCAAATGACCCCAAAAAAGCCATGTGTGGTCATATTTTGTATAGGCTGACCTCTTTGACCTGACCTAGGTCACTGATCTGGGTACATCCAAGCTTGAAAAGAGTACAGCGGATGCGAACTTAAAAGATGAACGGCTGGCTAAAATTGTGTGTGGTTGCAAGCGTTCGTTTTTTACCTGTGCTCGAAAAACCGGAAGTTAATCTCCCCGCCCGGCGCGGGTGAAGTAAAAAAGTCCGGTACAGTTGCACAGCTTATACGATGATCACTGCATCGGGTTTCACATTACCCTATCTTAATCAGTATGACGGCTACCGGTAGATAAACAACGTACCATGCACTCCAAAAATACGTCGGCTCTGGTAATGTTTCTCTGGCCTGAGAGGTCATTCAGCTGACCCAGACCCAAACACCTACACATATTCAGAACCAGGACGAAGGGAAAAACACTAAAAAGCATAGGTGTACCTCGTAAGGTCGCTGACCTACGGCAGTTCAAAGCCAGCTAATGGATTAAGCGAATACAATTTCTAGGGAATTGTTCAATCTGATGCAACAACGGAGTATTAGACAAATCATACATATCTAAGATAGTCTCTTAGGCAACACAAAAATAGAATGAGCAAGTTCCATTGACCTATGGTCAGGTGTGAAGGTCACACCTGGGTAAACATTAACTTTCTTTTACTTTAGAGCCTACTGTATGCGGTAGATCTGCTGCTCATCAAAAACTTACTGGTAACAGGAGCCCCGTTGCAAGTCTTCCATCGACTTCATAGAGGTCAGAATAGGTCACTGACCTAAAATGAGCCCCAGTGGCCTTTTTCTCAGAACAGGCATCACGTTTTATGTCACGTAGAATCACGCTGGTTGCATGAGATGGTCTGGGGGTACTTTGGACATCAGTTTGGAGTTTGACCGCGGTTGACCTTATTTGACCCGAAGGTCATGGCATATGACATTGATATTTTAAAACTGGGTTTACGTATCGCCCAACACACCCTGTAAATTGTTATATCTAGATTTCTTAGTTTCGGATATATCAGGAGGTCAAATTGAACCCCACCGACACGACGAGCATTTAACCCGCCACCCGGGCGCGTCTTAGTTTTAGCCAGCATACTGGCGAGAGCATAACATCTCATTTCCAATATGTTTCCTTTTAAGTCATTGTCGTGACTTGGAAGGTCGCCAACCAATCTGGCACAAAAACGGATACCCTTAAATAGCTTTGACCGTGAGAAAAATTTCGGTTTTAGTTCTAATGTTCCTTCTGTCTCCGTCCAAAAGTTAGTAAGGAGGCTCTGTCATCTGCATTCGTCTGTCCCCTTACCAACGAGCAGCGGGCCTGCCAGCTCCGTCGTTGGGCAAAGTAAAAGTATCTTTTATCGGGCGGGGTTTCGTTGCTTGTTAACGCACATTTACTGGCACTTTTTCACCACGATTTTGAAAATCTTTGTTTCAAGGTACTAAGAGATCTTTAATTCTGTGCATAAGCTGTCGGAGACCGCGCCTTTTGGTCACCAAGGGTCATCTCCAGCACATGCGATCTAATCATTTGAAAATGTGGAGGTGTTCGGCATGTGGGCAGTGTCTATCACGCCGGTCACGCAGCATCACGCGTATCACGCCACCCAAACGATCTAGAATGCCGTCATAATTACTGTGGACCTCAACACCAGTCATGTGCATCACTAACACGTCCTCCTGCTGCAGGTGTTCTGGACAAATATGACCTGCCATCTGACGGGTACATATCTCTGCTGAAAATACCGGATCTGCGTGTTATTGAGCGCCCGACCGGCAGCGAAAACTTCAGCGATCGGCACGGCACACCGGGCTCGGTCTTCGGCGCCGCTGTCACTCTCTCTGAGCTGATACGGGAGTTGCAACTTCTCAGTGGCACTGCCGGGTACCGCCACTGTGCGGAAATGGCCAGGCACCTGTTGCTCGTGGCCAATACACCGGTTCGAAACGCGGGCACATGGGCTGGCAACCTGATGATCAAGTACCACCACAGGGAGTTTCCATCAGATGTGTTCCTGCTGCTGGCGGCCGCCAAAGCCAAGCTGAAGATAGGTAAGACTCGGAACATTAACCAGCAGTCAAGGGGAAATTTAAAAGGATTACTTTCGAATGGTGCCAGGTAGATGCACCAAATTTAAGGCGCATGACAAATGAGCATTTAGTAAATTCTGGATGGAACATTCTGCAACGCAAGGTCAGGTCACTGCGTTATGACGTTATCAGTTAAGATCTACTCGGTGATGTTGGCCTTTGCCTGCAAGAGTTCGCAGTTTCCTTTCTTGCTTTGCTTTGCTTTGTGGAAATTCATTGACTGATTTAACTATCTGGTAGCCCGCATCAGTGCACGCTGTATGAAGTCACACCAGGTCCCTATCAGAGGTCATGGAAGACCAGCTTACAGGCGTCAAACTGCAAAGATTTCCAAACCAATTATATTTATACCTCATTTGAATCGAAGGAAAAATACAATTTCATCCGATTAGCCGGCCTGGCATTGGCCTGAGATCACGATGATTCAACCGGATCTGGACTGTTGAGATAGAACTTGAACCTTCAACTTCGACTTTAATAAGCAGTTAACCCCCCCCCCCCCCCTCCCCCCAGGACGTCGTAGGCGACGAATTATGCTAGTCGGTGCAGGAATAAGCGTCCCTTCATGTTACGTCAATATTTACGAAAATAGCCTCGCTCAAGATAGTGCTTAATGGAGCGCAGATATTGTTTGGACTAAGCTTGATACGTCCCAGACAGCGTGGTCCCCACCCGTCGCGTATTTTTCGCTATGTTTTAGCCGATGAAAATGGAGTGGAAGACATGGACGTGGAGAAGATGTACGGTACCTGCATGAAGAACAAGATCATCGTTTCGATGGCTTTGCCTCCGCTGGACGAGAACAAGTTCATATTCAAGACGTATAAGGTATGGTATACTAGTTGTATTTATGCTCCACCTAACCTCACGATTTTGGCCAAGCTGCCCTAGCACGCGCCCGGGTGGGCAGTTGAATACCCCTCGCCTGGGTGGGGGTCAATTTGACGCTCCTTAGATCTCAGACACTAAGAGAGCTCGAAGCACCAAATTCACCTGATGTGTTGACCTGCATGCTAACTCACTTGCGTTTAAATTTCCATTTCCTAGGTCATGACCTTCGGGTCAAATAAGGTCAAACAATGTTAAACTCCAGATTGGTGTCCGAAGTCCCCCAGAACCTAGATAACTGTTTTACACAAAAGACCACTGGTGCCTTTTTAAGATCATTCACCTTGTTTGACCTTTCGGAGGTTATGGTGCCAAAATCATACGAGACTGCGTTGAGTGTTGCATTTGAGTAAGCGACAAAGATCATGTCAGGCAGCATGTTGCTAAGAGCAAAAATGCTGATTTCAGGGCAGTGACCTATCCTCACCTTCAAGAAGTCCATTGAAGATGTATAATGCGGTTCCTGTTATCATTAAATTCGAAATTAGTACCAGAAAATGCGCCGGACGCTCTAGACGCTCTACGCTCTGGTTCTAGAGTAACAAAACAGGTTGGCTTTAAGCTAATTCTGACCTTTATACCCGACGCCCGGTCAGCATAATTTGTTCATTCAATTATGATGTTGCCTTAGAGACTATCTCAGGATGTATGCCTTCGTCTAACGCTCCGTTTTTGCATCAAATTGAACATTTTCTTGGAAATTATCTTCGCTGAATCCACATCACTATTCCGACCTGCCGTAGGTCAGCGACCTTACAAAGTGCTTCTAAATTTTAGATACCAAACGATCTGCTTTTTAATAGTCCACAGCTCGGCAAAATTTGGCGCAGCTCCGCCGCGCCGTTCGGAAGCCATTTTGAAAACACCTTCGGTGGGTCAAAGTGACTCCCGAACCGGAGCGCGTGCTAGCTGACCGATGCGAATAGCATTGCCAAGAGCGAACAAAAGGCAGTCTTAATTCAGCCATCTCAACTGAAATGCCCCTGAAGAAGAACGCATGAGGCTTTGGAGCTGATCAGCGCACAGAATGCAGAAGGCTTACTTTTACAGTCTGTGCTGCTAGGGTCAAGCTTTGCATGGGTGCGTAAGCATCAGAAATCATAAAGGACAGGAATTGGCAATCGGCGCTCAAAGAACCCATACATTTGTCGTTTATTTTCACACTGCGCTGCTGTCGCCAGGTGACGCCGCGCGCCATCAGCTCTCACGCATACGTGAACGCCGCGTTCGTGCTGCCCCTTGACCCGGCCACCACGGAGGTCACCGAACGACCCTGCCTTCTCTTCGGTGGCATCAGCGGCACGTTTGTGAGCATATATCTTCGTAGTCGGGGTACGAAGACATACGCTCGAAGACATAGACACACCCTTCGGTGGTGCGCAGAATGACAGCGCATTTGTGCCGTTTGAAGTGGCCTGGATAGGGCGGTGAGGGGGGAGTGTAGATAAGTTGTCCTAGGTGCCGCGCTAGGGCCGCGAGTTCGGATTCATCCGACCACGAGGGCATGCCTTGGTCGACGCGTGCCGCCCATGAATAGAAAACTTCAACACGTTTTACTTGGGTTATAACTTGCAATGTCCTAACTAACAACAATGTTCATTCGGCCTGACGCATAGACGGCTGGAAAGTCTATGTTAGGAAATATCCACACTGTTGCAGTCTCCGAGACTGAACTGATTTTCCACTGGCGCTTAGCAAGAACTGAGCATGCAATTTTCGGGCGCCCGCGTGTTTTGGCCGCGCCAGTACAGTGACAGCAGACTGTGCCGGGAGGTATCTGACGCTCGAGCATCTCCCGGTCAGGCGCACGCCGCCGCCACCGAGCACTACCTGACGGGCCGGCGGCTGGCCGAGCCGACCACGCTTAAGGCGGCGCTGCAGACGCTGCTGGACGAGGTGCAGCCTCAGCCGGACCCAGAGCTGGCCGACGTGGTCTACCGGCGGCGGCTGGCCGCCAGCCTGCTGTACAAGGTGGGGGCGCCTGCTCCCGCCAGTGATGTGCAGTGGCTGGGCATGGTGGTCGGGCTGCCCGAGATGACTGCGCTTACCAGCCGTACTTCATGATGAAAACACACAATGGGCCCCATGTGTCTCAGTTGGTCCCGATTAGACACCCTTTGGTCCCTGATCCACACCGACAGGATAGCTCGCCATTCATGCGTTAAGAGCCCGTTTTGCCTCGAAACGGAAGCCCGCCACAGGAAGCCGTTCGTTCAACATCCATTCACTCTCATGACGTCACTTTTGCGTTGGCCACGCCGTGCCTGTGACGGCCTTGTCGTGCCCTGTCTGCAGGCGGTGCTGCACGCGCTGGGGGAGCGGGTGCCGGCCCGCCTGCGGTCCGGCGCGGAGCAGCTGACGCGGCCCGGCCTCAGCGGCCGACAGCAGTTCGACACGGACCCGGCCCTCTGGCCTGTCAGCCAGGCCGTGCCCAAGCTGGAGGCGCAGGTGCAGACGTCAGGTGAGCCGACGGGCCTCCGTCAGCGGCGGGCCGCCTTGACTCCGGCGTCACCAGCCGTGGTGACTGCCAGAGCCCGCGCATCGTGCGCTGCAGATGAGATAAACAGGACGAGTGTGTGCCGACCGCCGCTGCTGTATTAACTAGGGTGCTGTTGGGCCATACAGCCCAGCAGGAGACCAACAGCCCCGAACGTAGGCTGTTTGTTTGTGATGCATGCCGGTGTGGTGGCGCAGGCGAGGCGGAGTTCGTGGATGACCAGCCGACAGTCCCCGGGGAGCTGTACGGCTATTACGTACTCAGCACGGTCGGCGACGCTCAGCTGAAGGTCGTGGACGGCTCCGCAGCCTTGGTGAGGGCGGATGATCGCACAGAGTAAGATGTGTGGCGATGGGGCTTCAGTTGTAACTATGACATCCACTGGGCCACAAGGTGCAACGGAAAGCTTCGCTGTTGCTCCGATGTTTAAAAGAGTTACATCAAGAAAAAAATACTTAGAATTACGCCAATTTTCCACTGCTGACCATTTGAAAGTGATTTACCACCTTATTGGAACTGTTGACAGAATCCATGTCGATCCTTAACATGCGTCATGCACCACTTGACAGGCTGTGAAAGGGGTGCACGGATTCGTCACGGCCAAGGACTTCATTGGCTCTAATGAGCTCTTCACCTGCGCCATGTTACTGAAAGGCATGGGAATGGACACGGACCTGCTGACACCTGAGCTGGTACGGCTTGACTGAGTCATTAATATTGATCTGCACTTCATATGTGGTGAATGACCACGCCGATTGCCGTATTCGTGATGCTACTCGCTCTGTGCAGGTATTCGTGGACGGCGCGGTGCGGCTCTGATGCTACTCACTCTGTGCAGGTATTCGCGGACGGCGCGGTGCGGCTCTGATGCTACTCGCTCTGTGCAGGTATTCGCGGACGGCGCGGTGCGGCTCTGATGCTACTCGCTCTGTGCAGGTATTCGCGGACGGCGCGGTGCGGCTCTGACGCTTCTCGCTCTGTGCAGGTATTCGC